GATGCTGATACTGAGTACAGGATAGAGCCTGGTACTCCATTCTCTTTTAAATACACATTATAGGTTTTCTGAGTGAATACAGGAGCATTGTCATTAACATCGGTGATAGTGACAGGTATGATTTTCTTACTGGACAGAGGGGGAGAGCCAGAATCAGTGGCTTTGATTTCTATATTATACTCTGAGGATCTCTCTCGGTCTAAAGGACCGCTGGTAATCAATTCATAATTATTAGAAAACGAAGGTTTCAGAGCGAACGGGGAACTTTTGGAAAGATGCAAGGTCACTTTGCCATTTTCACCGGAGTCCAGGTCTCTTGCACTGATCAGTGCCACGACTGTGCCACTCCGTGCGTCCTCGGGTACAGGACTAGGACCCGAAGTTAGCACAATCTCCGGAGCGTTATCGTTTATATCCTCTATGTCGAGCTGCACACGACTGTGACCCTCCATTTCGGGAACCCCTCTGTCTTTAGCAGTTATATCAATAAGGTAATATTTATTACTTTCATAATCTAATGGGCCCTTTAATATAATTTCTCCTGTTTCCACATTGATTGCAAATGTTGATAACACTGAGTCAGGAGTGCGGGACCCGAAAGAATATCTAACTTCACCATTAAGCCCATCGTCGGCGTCTGTTGCTGTAAGTTTAACTAGAAACGTCCCCGTGGTGATATTCTCCTTTAGAACAACCTTGTACTCGTTTTCACTAAACACTGGAAAGTTATCGTTATTATCAAGTACAGTAATTGTAATTTTACATGTTCCCGATGTGACTGGGGTTCCTCCATCTAAAGCTGTCAACAGCAGCTGATGGAAAGCATTTTTCTCGCGGTCTAAGGGTTTCTCTAACACTAATTCTGGGACAGCTTTACCACTCTTTGTGTCCTTGAATTTCAATGAAAAATGATCGTTTTTGCTTAAAGTATACGTTTTCAAAGAATTGCTCCCAACATCGGGGTCCTCTGCATTTTCTAAAGGAAAACGTCTGCCGGGACCAACTGACTCTGGTATTTTAAGATTAATTTCTTGGGTAAGAAAACTAGGAGCATTGTCATTTATGTCTCTTATTTCCACCTCAATTCGATGAGACTGTAAAGGATTTTCAACAACTACTTGCAGAGGTAACACACAGCTGGCGCTTTGTCCACACAAAGCCTCTCTGTCTATTCTGTCATTCACCACGAGCTCGCCCTTCCCCGCATCCATGCTGAAATACTGCTTACCAGCATCGGAGGCGACGTGCAGCTTACGGTCAAAAATTTCAGATAACCCCAAACCCAAATCTTTGGCAAGATTTCCTACCACTGAGCCCTGTTTTAGTTCCTCTGGAATGCTGTAACGAGTTTGTCCGTCTATTGTACTCCACAAGAGAAAGAAATGATGCCACCAAAGAGCCAGCCATCTCCAGTCTCGACATCCCTTTCTCTTTGTCATCCTTGGTCCGTTATAAAAGATTAATTCCAATTGACATAATGCACTGAAAAATTCTGAAATCCATCATCGCAGGTATGATTCCCATAGAACCATTCCCACATATTACTGAGGCCGCATATAAAACCGTAACATTATAAAAAATGAGCGCATTGCTCCTTCGGTCCTCTGCCTCTCTTCATTGTAAGTGTTGGAGTACCGAGGATGAATGGGGGCAGGGACTAGATTGCTTTGTACAGTTCTGAATCCTATTGGTGCCCATCAGCCATCTCTGCCATCCAATAAGAAGGAAACCAATCGACACTCTTAAAGTCACAGCATCTATTTTCTCTCTCCGCATTCACTTTGATCACAGGCAGTAATCACGAATTACTGGACTTCACGCAATGTAAAACATATTATCCCACTAACTAATAAATCACTTAATACACTAAATATTTTTTATTTCGCTATTCCATTATTAATTAATCCAGTCAACGAAATTTAGTGGAAGATGTGTAAATAATGGGCATCCCATTTAACTGCATGTCTGCATGTACCACGTGTAAAATGTATGTGTGTTTCAAACAGAGCATGCATTCCAATAAGCGTCGCTGTCCACCTTCGCGGTGCTGAACAATTTGGAAGAGCCTTTGTGCACTGTTTAGGGTTTACTGAAAGAC